TTCACTTCATCCATTACTCTCATACACACATTCAGATTCGCCACAAAGAGAGAAGAGAGCTTGGAGCTGTCCTGGGAATTCCTTGCTGCCATCATCTAGTTCTTCTTCTCTCTTTATCCTATCTATGTATTTCTTATTTTCTGTACTCATAGTTATGTCTAACTAATCCATTTAGTTAGGGCTTAGGATGAAGCCCTAGTCATGAATATTCAATGTTATGGATGATTTTATAGTTAATTGATTTCCTTGCTTTCATTATCAAGTTGTTAATCTCTAGTTTATTATGTGCTTGATGTATGTTTTCTTGGAGTAGCTAACTAGGATTTTATGCATCTAGCACAGGTTGGGAAGGGGTTTAGATTCACCAATACTACTCTCCTTTCACAAGCAACATATGAATGGCCTAAGAATCATTCAAGGGGTTAATAACCATAGGTTGATTAGGAAAAATACCATGTTCTAGGACTTGTGTGATTATCATATTCTCATGGAACTTAATGACTCTTGTATGCTTTATTCTAAGTAGATACCATGCTTAGGTTGCATATTAGAGATCACGTGTTGTGTAGATACCATACAGAATTACATGCCTTAGGAGAATCATGCATCCTGCACCTAGATACCATAGGCTTGTATGCGATAATCTATTGTTGATGAAGCTTGAGTCAATTTCTATGCATTCATAACTCGGATAGGAAAACTAGTGGTGAATTCCAAGGCTCTAACACCTCTCAATTATTGTTTCACAATCTGTTAATCGCATCTAGTGTTTACTTTCGAGCACTTTCATTTCACTTTCTTCTTTTCATTTCAACAAAAAAAACGCCCCATTTCGAGTGCGTGTGTGGTGCTAGGATTCTGTCCTAAATCTTGAGTAATTTGCAAGAGGCATTGCTGGATTCGACCTTGCCTTTAGCAAGTTAGTCAGTTTCTTTGTTCTATGTTTCTCTAGCATTCTAAGTAATTTAACTTGGAACCAAGTTACTATTCTCCGTGGGATCGACCTCGTATTTACATAAGCTATACTATAAACGGTTCATGCACTTGCGAGAATTAAAGTTGTTGTTTTTAATAACTCATTTAGTTGTTAGGAATTGAATCCAACAAGTTTTTGGCGCCGTTGCCGGGTAACCGGTAACGATGGTGCTATAGTTAGATTACTTTGATTGTTTTTGTCTTTGTTTGTTTCATTTGTTTCTTTTCATTGGTTTTTCTTTTAGTATTCAGTTTTTGTATTTAGTTGTTATCTCCATTGAAAGCACTGAATTGAGTTCCTTTGTATGTATGTCTGAATCTGACCAGGAGCAAAGTTCACCTGAGCCACTTTCACCAAGAACCGCTGCTGTACGTGCTGATTTGAGGAGGAACTATAGTTCTTCAAGCACTGAATCTAAGAGCTACGAATCTGAAGGTTCAAGCAAGATGGCAGAGATTCCAAACAACAACAATAATGTTGAAGGAGGTGGTGCGCTTGTTGTCCAACCTCGAAAACCGCTGCATGAGTTTTCCATTCCCAAAGTCACCGATCAACCTTCGTGCATCGTCTATCCTCAACTCACAGTTGACAGGTTTGAGCTTAAAAGTGGTATGATTCATCTTCTTCCAACTTATTATGATAATACTACTGAGGATCCTTACATGCATATTAAGCAATTCTTTGAAATATGTGCTACAATCAAAATTCAAGGCCTTGATGATGAGCAAATTAAGATAAGGCTATTCCTTTTCAGTTTAAAAGATAAGGCTAAGTCTTGGTTATACTCTTTGCCTAATGCTTCAATTCATACTCGGGAAGAGCTTTCTAATAAGTTTTTGCAGAAATTCTTTCCGGCTCAAAAGACTAATAAGATTAGAAAGGAAATTCTTGGTTTCGCACAAAAAGAAGGAGAAGCTTTTCATGAATGTTGGGAGAGGTACAAGGAGATGATAAGTTCTTGCCCACACCACAACATAGAGAGTTGGATGCAAATGCAATCTTTCTATGAAGGTTTGCTTGATTCCGAAAGGATGATGGTAGATGCAACAAGTGGAGAAGGACTGATGAACAAAACAGCAGAGGAGGCTTTTACTCTCTTTGAATCCTTGAGTGCTAACTCTCAACAATGGAGCCACAATAAAGGAAGAGGAGCTCCTATGAAAGCTGTGGTCTCTGAGGTAAGTACTAATAATGAGATTGCTGCAAAACTTGATGTTATGTGTTCTTTGCTTCAACAGGCAGTGACTAGCCCTCTAGGAAACAAAGTGGAAGTTCAAGACCAATCTTTTGCAGAGCACATGCTAGAACAAGCAAATGCCCTTCAAGCAAGGAATCCTAATAATGATCCTTACTCAAACACGTACAATCCGGGGTGGAGAAATCATCCTAATTACAAGTGGAGCAATAACTCAAACGTGCAACTATCTCAAGGACCTCCCCCAGGATTTCAAGTACAACAAAGGCAATTCCAGTAAGCTCCTCAACAAGTGCAAGAGCAAAGGGGTGATCAAATGGGAGAATTGCAAGACATGTTCAAGAAGTTCATGGGGCAACAGATGCAAACCAATCAGAATCTTCAAAATGCAGTGAACAAACTAGAAGTGCAAGTTGGGCAGATTGCATCCTCCATGAGCAATAGGGCATCCGGAACATTTCCAAGCCAAACAGAGGTGAATCCAAGGCATCAAGAGCATGCTAAAGCAGTGCACATCTTGAGAAGTAGTAAACAAGTTGATAACAAGGTTGGAGATGCCAATGAAAAGCAAGAAAATGGAGAAAACGTGGAAATCATTCAGCCACCACATGGGCAGCCCACAACTTCCAACAAACAGTCCCTTAATCCTTCTAGAAAGAGCACAAACCCTAAGGTATCATCTAATGCTAATCAAGTTCCAATTTCAACTAATGCTTTTAGGCCTATTGCACCCTTTCCCAGTAGGTTATCAAAGTCAAAGAAAGATCAAGGCTTGGATGAGATAATGGAAACATTCAAGAAGGTGCAAATCAATATCGCATTGTTCAATGTCATTGCTCAGATTCCAAAGTATGCAAAATTTTTGAAAGATCTATGCACTAACAAGATGAGATTCAAAGAGCATGAACAAGTTGCACTGAGTGAAGAGGTAAGTGCAGTGTTACAAAGAAAGCTACCTCCAAAGCTAAAGGATCCAGGTTCGTTTTCTATACCTTGCATAGTTGGTGATTTTAAGTTTCAAAAAGCTTTGCTTGATCTTGGTGCTTCTATAAACCTTATGCCATATCATGTTTATGAAAAACTTAACCTTGGTGAGTTGCAAGCCACATTTGTGAGCATTCAATTGGCAGATAGAACTATTAGGTACCCTAAGGGAATTCTATAAGATGTTTTGGTGAAAGTGGAAGAGCTAATTTTGCCAGCAGATTTCTTGGTGTTGGAAATGGAAGAAGCACCAATTCATGACAATCAGTTACCACTCATTCTAGGTCGGCCATTCATGGCAACTGCCGGTGCTATTATTGATGTGAAGAAGGGTACATTGACCATGAACGTGTTTGATGAGACAATAGCATTCAAAGTGTTTGAAGCCTCCAAGTTTCCAAGTGATGAGCATGAAGTTTTCCAGCTTGATGCAATTGATACTATGGTGAAAGAAGCACTGCCAATGAGTTATTTGGAGCCCATTGAAGCATGCATTACACAAAGCATAAGGAAAGAAGAAGTGGACAGCTTAGAGGCTGTGATATCTCCTTTACTTCTTGAGCTTGTTTGCAGCATAGATAGCTACATACAAGTTGGAAAGAGGTATGCAAACCAATTTGAATCACTACCCCCACCTACTAATAAGGTTTTACCTTCTATTGTGCAGGCACCAGAGTTGGAATTAAAGGAATTGCCAAAACACCTTAAATATGCTTATTTAGGTGAAAATGAGACTCTACTTGTTATCATTGCCTCACACGTCAAACCAAATGATGAGAAGAAGCTTTTGAGAGTTCTAAAAGAGTACAAAACTGCAATTGGGTGGAGCATTGCAAATATCAAAGGCATAAGCCCAACACTGTGCATGCACAAGATATTATTGGAAGACAATGCAATGCCTAAGAGGGATGCCCAAAGACGTCTCAATCCAAACATGAAGGAGGTGGTAAGAAAAGAGGCAATGAAGATTTTAGATGTTGGTATTATTTATCCAGTGCAAGTTGTTCCCAAAAAGTCAGGTATCATACTGGTGAAGAATGAAGCAAACGAGCTTGTACCTACACGGGTGACCACGGGCTGGAGAGTTTGCATTGATTATAGGAAGCTCAACATAGCAACAAGCAAGGATCACTTCCCTCTTCCATTCATTGATCAGATGCTTGAGAGATTGGCTGGCCATAGCCACTATTGCTTCCTTGATGGATATTCAGGCTACAACCAAATCACCATAGCCCTAGAGGATCAAGAGAAGATGACCTTCACATGTCCCTTTGGCACTTTCGCTTATAGGAGGATGCATTTTGGTCTCTGTAACACCCCAGCCACTTTTCAGAGGTGCATGATGAGCATTTTCTCCGACATGGTAGAAAGGTTCATTGAGGTATTCATGGATGACTTCTCTGTCTTTGCTGATTCTTTTGATCAATGCTTGCATAACTTATCCAAGGTGTTAGCTAGATGTGAACAGACTAACCTTGTGCTTAATTGGGAAAAATGTCATTTTATGGTTAACCAAGGCATAGTTCTTGGTCATGTCATCTCTAGTAAAGGAATCGAGGTAGATAAAGCTAAGATTGATTTGATTGCCTCCATGCCTTCACCTACTTCTGTCAAAGAAGTACGTTCTTTCCTTGGACATGCAGGTTTCTATAGGCGTTTCATTAAGGAATTTTCTAAGATTGCAAGGCCTTTGTGCAATCTCCTTGCCAAGGACATGGATTTTGTCGATCAAAACTGTGACTTTCAATGCTTTGAAGAAGATGCTCACAACTGCCCTAATCATTATACCACTGGATTGGAGCTTGCCTTTTGAATTGATGTGTGACGCCTCAGATTATGCCGTTGGAGCTGTTTTGGGACAGCGAGTTGATAAGAAGCCACATGCCATCTACTATGCTAGTAGAACCCTCAACGATACCCAACTCAACTATTCCACAACAGAGAATGAGTTATTAGCTGTCATATTTGCTTTAGAGAAGTTCAGATCATATTTGATTACTAACAAGGTTATTGTTTACACTGATCATGCAGCATTAAAATACTTGTTAGCCAAGAAGGATGCCAAGCCACGACTCATTAGATGGATTCTCTTGTTGCAAGAGTTTGACTTGGAGATAAAAGATAAGAAAGGAAGTGAGAATGTCGTGGCTGATCACTTGAGTAGATTGGTACATGTATCTAACGAAGAGGAGGATTCATTGCCATTGCGTGAAAGCTTCCCTGATGAGCAACTCTTCTCCATTTGTGCTTTGAATTCTCTCTATCCATAGCCTTGATTTGCTGATATTGTTAATTATTTATGCACTAATGAACTCCCTACAGGGTTATCTATGTTCCAACGTGACAAGCTTAGGAAGCAAGCAAGATACTACTTTTGGGATGATCCATATCTATTCAAGCATTGCTCAAACCAAATAATTCGAAGCTGTGTGCCTGAAGGTGATTTTAAGAGCATTCTGGAGTTTTGTCACTCCCATGCATGTGGAGGACATTTTGGAGCAAAGAAGACTACCAGCAAAGGGCTACAATCAGGTTTCTTTTGGCCTACCATTTTTAAGCATGCTTATGTTTTTTGTGCTTTATGTGATAGATGCCAACGGATGGGTAATTTACATGCTAGAAATCAGATGCCTCTCACCAATATCCTAATCATTGAAATATTTGATGTTTGTGGAATTGATTTCATGGGCCCTTTTCCTACCTCTTATGGATTTGAATATATATTAGCTGCTGTTGATTATGTTTCTAAATGGGTGGAAGCCATTGCCACTAGAACTAATGATGCTAAGGTTGTGATTGGTTTTCTCAAAGGAAATATTTTTACAAGGTTTGGCACACCTAGAGCAATCATTAGTGATGGTGGCTCCCACTTTGTTAACCAAGCTTTTGCAGCACTCTTGAAGAAATATGGAATCACGCATAAGGTGGCAACACCCTATCATCCTCAAACTAGTGGGCAGGTTGAGATAAGCAATAGGGAGATTAAGCACATACTTGAAAAGACAGTGAACACCACAAGGAAGGATTGGTCCATGCGTTTGGATGATGCACTGTGGGCTTATAGGACTGCTTATAAGACCCCTATATGTATGTCTCCGTATAGGCTTGTTTCTACCAGTGGAGCTTGAGCACAGGGCTTATTGGGCAATCAAGGCCTTCAATTTTGATATGAAAGTTGCTGGTGAGAAGAGGAGGCTTCAACTTAATGAGTTTGAGGAGTTGCGACATGAAGCATATGAGAACGCTAAGCTTTACAAGGAGAAAACAAAGCAATATCATGACAAGAAAATTCTTAGGAAGACATTTGAGAAAGGGAAGAAGGTTCTCCTATTCAATTGATACCTTAAGCTCTTCCCAGGTAAGCTTCGTTCTCAGTGAATTGGCCCTTTTGTTATTACTAATGTGTTTGATCATGGCGTAGTGGAGATTCAAAATATTAAGGATGGCAGCACCTTCAAGGTGAATGGACATCGGTTGAAACCTTACTTTGATGCCAACTTTGATGCCAATATTGAGTCTCAAGCACCCAAGAAGCCTCTACTACTCTCTTGATGCTCACTAGAGATTGGACGTCCGGCTGAAGACATAAAACTTAGCGCTTCTTGGGAGGCAACCCAAGGTGACGAGGAGAAGATAGAACATGCAAGGAAGCCTGCTTGCATCCTAATCGCTTCAAAGGGGAGTTTTTCTAAACCCTAACCTTTGGTTATATCTTTCCCTTGTCTTCTTTCCTTTCATTTATGAGGCATTGCTTTTTCTTACACTCTAAACATTGAGGACAATGTTTCATTTAAGTTTGGGGGGAAGGATTTAGATATGTTGTTTCAAATTGTCAAATTTTAAAATTTTGAGTGTGTCTAATGGCCAAAAACGTAGGATTTTGTGTCTTGTTTCGTTATCATTCCAAACACCTATGATAAGACTTGGATATAATACTAATATGGTTTCTCAGAAATTGATAGTCATTGTTTAAGGACTTTGTGTGGTTCTGAGTTAACTCTGTCTTGCATGCCATCCTTGCACTTATTGAGCACTTTGCCGAGTTAGTCCAATTTCTTGTTACTTAGAGACGTTATGCAATTCTACTTATCTCATGATCTTGGTTTCGTACTCTAGAACTTAGTTGAATATCTCTTGAGACATTTTGTTGCCATACAATGCTTAGGAAGTGATTTAGGCCATGTTTGAACCGTTTGAGCCTTTCTAACCATCCCTCTACATGTATTCATCCCTACTCAACCCATTTGAGCCTGCATTAA